TTCCTGTATTTCCTCTTTTTAAAAAACTGAATCCATCACGCAGGGCTACAATGGGGTGTTTTAAATTAAAGGACATTAGAGTGTTAAACTGGCCAAAAGTGGTCAAAGTTGAGGTATAAGGAATCTTAAGCAGGAAAAGCAAATATATGTTAACAACAATCTCAATGTGCTTTAGCGATTTTGCAAAGAATATATCCAAAGACTGAGATGGAATCCTTATTAAAGGAGGTTCAAAGTAGGGGGAATAAATATAAATGCATTGCACACCTTTCAGACTTCCATTAAAAACATGAAATATCATATTTAACAGTGCATGGTATATGTTAGGAATCCAGTCTGTGTGTGTTGTGTTTTTGGTGTTCTTCTCTGCCCCCACCACCAGGTGGTACCCTGTCCTCGTTGGTCCTCCTGCACACCTGCGGCTGGTTGGCTCATCACTGAGGAGTATTTGAGCGGCGGACTGTCACTACCTGAATGCCAGAGTGTTTGCCAGTTTGGGCTACTCTAGCCAAGTTGCCTTTAGCTGAGTCTAAATGAGTCTTTGTTTCTCTGAGTTCTAACGTTGTTTTTTGTTTTTGCCTTTCGGCAGGAAGTCACCTGCATACTGGATTTTTTGGCCCTCTCCCCCCTGGAAGGATTTGTTTGAGCTTCACACTGAGCAGGGGATTTATCTCCACACGTCCCGTTCAAGTACTCCTGGAAATCTAAGTGGCAGTCCGCTCCATTGCTCCTCAGGAACCAACCTAACCAAGACCTGTCCGCCCTCCAACAAGCCCCTCAAATACACTGAAAAGGCATGAAGCAGGCAGATGAAAATAAACTATTTTAGTCTAAAACGATGGAAATTCTAAAAAAAAAAAAAAAAGAAGTACCAAATCAAAATCCAGGAAGAAATCCAAAATATGAAACCACAAGAAGGACACAGTAAAACAGGCTGATACCAGGATGACTACACCAAAAACTGACAGAGATATACTTAGCTGGAGATGGGCATAGGGAGCAAGAAAGCAGAATAGAAAAAAACAAAATAAAGTAAAACATTAAACCAAAGTCACAAACATCAGTAGAGTGTTAAACTCTCACTTTACCATAAAACAAATAAAAATAACATTAAATTGTCTGTATGTAATGTGAAATAATATACATATATATTCTATTTTTTTTTTCATCATAAACATTGCATCTCTCTTGCATCCCAATTTAGTATTTAAATGACAGCTAAAGGTTTCTTCTTTTTTTATTTTTTAGATGTATCAGAGTAATGGGCTTTAAACATAAATTTACTATGCTGCAGATTTTTGTGGGTAAAAATGTTTTTAGAGCCAGCCATGTATCACACCCCTTCTACTTTACTTCTACATGTTACTTAGTGGTGATCTACCACATAAAATCCTAATGAAACAAAATGATGTAATGTTGTAAAAAGCCAGAATGTCCCTATCCTCTCCCTCTTTCGCTTTATCGCTCTCAGGCTGTCACTTCTCGCTACCAGATGTCCTCTGAGCCTTCTGGGAGGGCATTCCTCCTCTTGTAGCAGAGGAAACTCAAATACCGATGAAGGCAACTCACTCAGCACACTTAAAGTAACCTAAAGAAGTTCTGAGTTTATTTCCTCTGGCTTGGAGTTAAAGATCAGAGTGCTTTTGCCTTTTTTTAAACACACTGCTCGTACAATATTAGAAAGGTCACATCGGTGGACACACAAAACAATGCATGACTGAGCAGCCAAGATGACTAGAAGGCATGCAGAAAAAAAAGAAAACCCTCAGAAATGCAGCCAAGTGTGAGTGAGACTGGGAGAGGAAAACAGAAAACTCACTCCTTAGAGCTTCTTTAAAAATTCAGATGTGCCAAAAGATCACCGTAGAAGTTTTTCTGTAGGTCAACAGTAAGAAAAAAGGGATGAGACACACAGGAGAGAGCAGAGGAATGGGTTCACTTTGTTTAAAGCTGTTTCCTCCCTCAGAAAAGACTAAGATAGAGCACTGCTTCCTGTCGCTTATCAACACTGAGTGGCTGAATTTTTACATTTCCTTGGAAAAAACAATATAAAAATGGGGACAGTGGCTGCAGAGTTAGGTACATGTATTTGTGCATGTGGGGGGGTCTGTACTGACATGGTGGTTGAGTGCTGGATGCTGCAGTTCTGTAACCTACTTACACTGATCACCCCCACCCCCCTCCTCTGTTCACACATAGATGCTCATGCATGTCCATGCTACCTCCTGAACACACTCTCCGCTAGAGAGACTGGAGGAGGTTTTTGGCCCCGTTTCAGATAGTAATGTGCTCCAAGAGGCAGGAGGCAGTTAGTGTGCGAAAAGGAAGAAGAGAGATGTGAGACCTGGACAGAAGACAATTCATACAGTCTAACATTACATGCTGGGAGTGATGCAAATACCGGTAAATGCAAAGGATCAAATACAAAGAAACATTTGAACCTTTTTAAAGTACAAGCATGGAGCATAGTGGAAATAAGAGAAAATATGTACAAGTTGGACACAATCATCGCTCTGAGCAGAAGCGGGGGGGGGGGGGGGGATTCACAACACAACAACAAATGGCATTTCCATGTTTCATGTTTAATACCTGGACAGAGGGTTTCACATTAACTCATTTACAACTTTTTGTCATCAACAGAAAACGTGTGACATTCAAATAGAGCAATACATTGCCGCCATCTAGCGGTCACACAGAGTAACATCTAGTTTTACAAGAAAGGTTACAGGTTTCAATTAATTTTAACTGGATTATACATCATTGATGTATATATACTTTTGTATGATTCAAAATCAAATACAAGTATAAAGTTGATCACATGTTTTTCAATTAAACCCTATGATGTAATCACAGTGTTAATTTGTTGTTTTACTCACAATTGGTAAAGCAGCTCATACTGAGCAGGTTTGAGGCGCTGGTGGAAAGGAATATTCTCTTTAATCAGGAATAAAATATGGATGGATGGATGGATGGATGGATAGATGGATAGATGGATAGATAGATGGATAGATAGATAGATAGATAGATAGATAGATAGAT